TAGCACAGGCAGTCTCAGGGGCCACCACACCCAGATTGAGGTTTAAAGTGGTTCCAGCTGAGCAGGAACTAAGCATGCACACTCACACAATGTGTTCTTGTGGGTACCATGAAAAGAGGCCCATTGTCAAGCAGTTTTTGGGTGGGAGTCAGCAGTATGCAGGATGAGTGGGCAGAGCTGTGGCTCAGAGCTCCCGGCCTTGACCCTCAGTGGAGCGTGGGTACTCCCTATGCTTTTGGAAGGAAAGCAACGGACCCTTCTTCATCCCTTTTAGCAAAGGTTGCTGAGATCCTCAAATCTATGTGTTTAATTTTCTTCCCGTTTGCTGGTGCACAACTCCTAAAATCCTCAGAATCTTCAAAGTGCTATCTTTTTATAAGAAAAGGGGTGGAGGCACGGGGCTTCCACCTGGTTCGCATGAACTGAGGAAGCCAGTGGGCAAGTCTGGAAAAATGTCTTTCTTAGAGATGTGTGTGTACATTTCTCTTGTGTGTGTGGTGCTGGGGCTCGAACCCAAGGCTTTGTACATGCTAAGCAAGTGCTCTGCCACTGGACCTACACCCAGCCTAAGGAATCTGATTCAACAATTTTCTAACAAAAATAAAAGATGCTTTCTAGAATTTTTTAAGTCATAAAGTGACCCAAATGGAAACTGTGATGGAATAGCAACACAGAAAGATCTGGAGACAATAAATCCTTAGGTTAAGCTACTATTAAAAAAAAAAAAGTGACTGAGCACTGTTTCATCTTGGAGCCACAAGCTCCCATGAGTGAGTCTAAGGAAACCTGAGGCTCACATAGCTTAAACAACGTGGGCTGGCCTCTCAGTAACTCCTGAGACACATTTGCCTGTATGTGGCCCAGGGCTGCCAAAGCCCAACTTGTGTTCTTTTTGCTGCTTCTTACCATGGCAGCAGAGTGGCCATTGCCGGTCTGAGAGCTGAGCCCATGAGGAGGGCTTTCCCCAACTGTTAAAGGGGTCCTGGTATGGGAGTTCAGGATGCCAGGTAATTGTCACTCTGGGGATGATTCCAGATTTTCAGGGACTGAGCAGTGGCCCAGGAGTGACCCAGGTCCTCCTGGTTGTGCAATCCCCTGGGGATGCGACTGAATGTAGATTCCTGGGTCCCTCCCGGGACTCCAGGAACAGGGCTCAGAAATCTGGTTTCACTTCTGAGGGGCTCAGGTGAAGCTGGCCTAAACTGAAAACCTAGCCCTAGAGCATTTTCAGGCCTGTGTGCAGGTGACACACATGCTATCTCTTGCTCTCAAGTCTGCTTGGAGCTATAAAGTGAGTTTGAATTCAGCCCAAAGCTTCTCCCATGATGGGTTTGCAGAAGGTCAAGGTTTTGGCTTCCTGAACCTCTGACTAGGGTTTGCTGTGTGGAAAGACTTTTGCAAAATAGCTGTGTTTATCTGAGCTTAATTCCTGTTTTCAGGAGCTTATGTGTTTTGGCGTCTGCACGTGGTTTGCTGTCCTCTGAGCCACGTTCTAAGCACATCAGGAGTCCCACTTCAGGTTCCCGAGTGTGCAGCAGCTGTCCAAGACGTGCCAACTGTGGGGCTTTTCTCACAAGTACTGTGGCTTTTCTGAATTGGAAACTACGTTTCACGGTTTATACTTCTCCGGCGGCTGATCTGCTGGGAGAGTGCTGGGACTTAGGCTCAGTTACTCTTCAGAAAGGGCAGCAAAGGGTTGTGGACAGAGCTGCAGTGGGCCCTGTGTAGTGGCTCAGATCTAATCTCCACCCATCACAAGTGAATTGACTTCTGGCAAATTATGACCTACCTCTGAGAACCAGTCTCTTTATCTGTAAATGGGGAACACATAGCTCCTGAGAACTTGGCCCTTGGAGGCAGCGCTCAGTGCATGTCAGCTGTGGTTGCACTGGGGCCTGCTCCATGGGATGGCAGGACCAGGCGTGGGGACCGGGCTCACCAGTGAAACACAGATCACTTTGGGAGTGACTCTGTGCTTGTCTTCAGTCTGTTTTCTTCTCGCGGCCTGCTCCAGCTGTTTCAGGGTGCCAGCTTCTACCCACTGGTCTTTGTGAGCTCAATCTGTGCGGGTCTTCACAGAGCACCACCTGCCTTCCTCGAGGCTCCCTTCCACTGACCTCACAGCCGCCATCACTTACTTGTTTTCTTCGCAGCCTTTGAGCCTCACAGGTACAGAGAACATGGAGTTGTCTTTGTGACCACTGGCCCAGCATATTCTCGACAAAGGAAATGTTTATGAAACAGAGGAGCCGCGCAAGCTCAGGGGTGATGTAACAGGGTTTAGTTGATGGCACCTTCATCCAGGTCAATGTGTCTTGGCCTAAATCCTGTGGGAGTGGACCCACGCTGGGCTGTGCATGCCTGCTAAGGAAGTGAGCCCATTTGCTCCGGATAACCCATGTAGTCCACACAGGGCAGATGAGAATGCACGGGGAATAGGCAAAGCAGAACTCCATTGTTCTAATAAATGTCGTCCCTTACCATCCTACCCCTGCCATATATACCCTGTGAGTTTGGCAAGACTTAGAAGTACAAATTGTGGTGTGGCACAGAGTTAGGGTAGAGGAGAAAAAGCAGGGGTGGGGAGGGAGGTGCTACTGTTATTTGGGCCACAAGGGGGCTGGCACTGCTGCCTGTCATACCGTGGGGCCTCCAGCAGGTCACTCCAGCAATGTGGGAGGATACCCGGCTCACATATAAAGGAACGTTGACCCCTTACAGTTAGCACTCCGTCACTGAGGCAGAGAGCTATGACAGCCTCTAGTTCCTGGTCCCCTGGGGAAGACGAGGTAGCTGTCTGGAAACACTGAGGGCCGCTTTCAAAGGCTGAGTTGTTAAGTCTCCAATAGGCCCGGCTCCGGGGTAGGGTGGAACATGACACTTTGTAACAAGATGGGGAGCTAGCTGCCCTGCCTGGCTAACTCAGGCCATCATGTTAGAGCCATCCTGATGGAAAGTTGCCAGCTTCCCTGCCACAGCACCTACAGCTGCACAGTGCTTGTGAGGGTTTATCTTGCCTTGCTTTGTGAACAGACACTGATGTACCAACGTTCATGAAGGAAAACAAGGAATGCTGCAGATTCTTCCACATCCGTGTCACGCCACTTTCCACCACTACATCTCTCTGGCTGGGATGTGTTAACAGGGGCTTCTCTGCACATACTGAGAACAGCCCTTGAGCCAGAACCACTTGCGCAGACTCATGACTTAGTGATTTTTCAGCCACAGATCTCCCTGAGCCCCGGTCCACCCTGGCAAAATGAGAGGTCCAGGCTTCTCAGACTGGCTGAGGACTCAGTGAGACGCTGCAGGCAGAGCGCCTATGCCTACCCAGCTGCATGACAGCCCCAGGAGAGACATTCACCTGAGCGTTAAGTGCTGATGGCGCACTAGTACCAATTCTGGCCATGAACAGGTACAGAGTGGGTACATGGCAGTGGGAAGGGGAGGAGACTCAGTGCCAAGATCCATCGTGCGTAAGCCAGGGCCGCACATTGTTACATGTCTAGAGTGAGCTCTGACACAGGAGTTAGGGCAACTCGTGCTGTCCATCCCCCAAAGCAAAGCCAATGAAGACTTGAGTTTCTCCAGGCAGAAGAGTAGTGGACAACTCACAAAATGGCCTGATTTCCGATGTTTGGGATCAACTGAGAATATGTTTATTTAAAAGCGATTTTAAATATTAAAAAAAGTAGAAATTAACACATACAGTACTGAAAAACTCACATTAAATACATGTGAATGAAAAGTGTACTGATGTTTGATGGTAAGATCCAGATGAGAATTCAGAATTTAATGGCACTAGGGGCTCCTATATGACATGTTGAAGTTCTAGGCAATAAAAAAAATAAATAGCAATTGCTGTTCAACAGGAAAATAAGACACACACTATTTGCAGTACATAACTTTCCCTTTCTGGGGGAAAAGGAACTAATTTGCTATATTTTTCTTAAGGTTCCATACCTTCAAAATACTATATCATGTACAAAACTGCAGATAGTGGCCCACTGAGTTTAAGAACAAGATCAGATTTCAACTCAATAAGATCGCTAAAGGACTATCTAGTTTTCCTATGTCCCACAGTAAGGTTGATTAGAGAGAACTCAAATTCCTGATGGAAAACCAAAACCAAGCCAGAGGCAGAAAAAAAAAAAAAAAAAAAAAAAAGGTATGGAAGTGCTTTTGGGTGACTTATAGCAACAGAGGGAAAAGAACAACTATTGACTCTGTGCAATTTTAGGTGCGGTGCCTTTTTTTTTTTTTTTAACCAGTTTATTTCCTGATCATTTGAAAATAGTTTAGGGCACGAAAAAGAATGGTTCTTCAACCTAAAACATGCAAATGAATGAGCTGGGACACTGGGCAACCTAGACATTGACTTCCTGTCTTGACACCACAGTGGCTTAAACACCAAGGCTGCTGGCACTGCCAGCCACACCCCAGCATGTGGACTGACGCCTCCTGCTCTTGGTTTGGTGTGCCCTGACAGGGGGAAGTAGTTGCTTTAAATCAGTTTCTCCTAACAGCTGATAAAACATTTTGCAGGTTTGTCGTGCAAGGTTTATTTTTTAGGTGGCTAGTTCAGAGTTTTCATAGTAACCACTTAAGCAGCAATAAATTAATATTTACTGAGCACTGTGACTCTGAGAGGGCTTTTCCTATGGGTTGTATTAGGAATTGTGCTTCTGTGACATTAACATTTGTCATTCATTGCCAAGATTATCTGCTTAAAAATATTAGTCTTCTATGTTGTTGCCAGAATCACAGTTTAAGTAATATAATACTACAATGAAACACAAGCCCTGGAATCAGAATAGTCCCACTGCCCAGGGGCACCCCTACTGTCCAAAACTCAGACTGATGATGGGAAGACACACAATGTTCTTAATGGTCCAACAAGCATGGCCGGAATGAGAAAAACCAAGTGTGTGTGTGTGTGTGTGTGTGTGTGTATGTGTGTGTGTGTGTGTATGTATGTATGTATGAGAAAGAAAGAGAGAGAGAGAGAGAGAGAGAGAGAAAGAGAAGCGGGGAGGGTGGTGAGAGACAAAGACACCAACTCCTCCTAGAGAGCTTTTTCACAGTGCAATTCATAGCAGCGTTCCAAAACTTGGTTACGAATTGACCTGAAGGGGACATGTCTATTGGGTAGAGCATAAGACGGGAAAACTTAGCTGTAACTGGGGTTTAAGCAAGAGGATGAAAAACAAAAACTTGGCTTCAGCACCTGAATTCTACCTTGGACAAATTGTGTGAAGGGTTGACTTTTAAAATTCTGCATCTTGAATAATCTTTTGAGAGTTTAAATTTATCCAAGAATAAAACTAAGAAAACAATTTCAAACTGGTACTTTAAATGCATTCAACACACCTGAAGGATGCTGACTCACAATACGGTATGTGAATTCATATTGTGGAGAAGGCTAAATGACTGATTAGAAACAAATGTTGCAACCTTATAATTTCTGCTTTAATGGCAATCAAGTTTAAAAAATGTACAGTTCAACTTATCCATTCTATTTATTCCTTTATAAAAGGCAGATTTCAGGTAAGCTTCTAAATGCATGCATAATGTAGAGGCTAATATTTTCTGGCAGTCCTTGGTTCCTGAAAGTTGAACTTCATCAGACGTGGTTTTAAATTTTTGTCAAAGTCGTCATAAAGGATATGTTATTTCTGCATAATGAGGTAATATCTCAGGGGCGGGCACTCATCATCAGGAGACAGGACAGACCCACTTGTCTAAACTTGCAGGAGGCTGTGTGCATTTAGAATGCCACAAGGAGTTTGGGTCAGTATTTTGCTGAAGAAATAACACTTATGTTTAACTGAGCACTTTTCTGCAATAAATACCAAAGTAGGTTTTGGTAGCTGTAAACTGTGTACACAGATAACTACAGGCTGGTCTGTCATGGAGCTAACTAAAGCTTCACCTGGAGAACAGAACCCACCTCTGCTAATGTTGCATTTTCAGTAACACCATTGAGAATACTGCATTGTTAGGAAGAGTCAATTCTATGCCCTTCAACGGGTGCTGGAGACCACTTTCTACTCACAAAGCCAGTGGTTCCTATACTCCTGTTTCCTTTATTTACTTGTGAAACAGCATAGAGAGAGAGATGTAAGTGCTAGATGCCAAGGATGGCTTTGGCAAACCAGTAGGGCACGCCGGGTCCCGAGGCAACCCTAATACTGGTGAAGGCAGAAGACCACAGGATATTTACAATACATACTATATTCCCCTCCTGTGTGGCCCTTCCATGAGTTTCTTATTCTGTAACAGCAGCTATATACACGATGTGCACAGGATTACACGGAGGCAGCAGTCTTGCATGAAGGATGGGGACAATCTTCAGATTCTGCTTTCTGCTAATCAGACAGGATGTGAACAAAGGACACCGGAAAGACCCCCTTCCTCTCAGGCTGTCCTTCGATGTGTCCAATCTGCAGGGAAAAAAAGAGTGGTCAGTTGGAGGCAGCAGGCAGCTGCCCGGGTAAGTGCAGTGGGTGAGAGCTGGCCAGAGACTCGAGGGAGGTGGGGGTGTTCCAGGCTCCCTCTTCCCAAGCCTTTGTTGAGCCACAGAGGTCAAAGTCCACAACTATGTAACAGAGAAACAACCACAAAGTGGTCATCAGCAGATCTACAAAGATACTTCTGTATGGATCCCAATGCACCCCAGAGCCACCCAGACAGGTGGAATAATCTGCCTAAGCCCCAGCCCCCAGGGTGCTCAGCTGCTCTCCAGTGGGATGACTTCTGACAAACCTCATGAACCTCTTACTTATAAAACAGGACTAAAACCCCCTTCTTCTCAGGCTTGTATGATTATATTAAAAAGAAGAAAAAAATCTTTATATGGAAGGGGCTGCTATGTATCAATCTTGTGTCTTCTGGTTACTGTGGGGAAAGGATATTGTGCAAGTTTGAGACTGATTATGGCCTGTAGCAATCTTACTGTCTGCAGCATAAGCCTGTAAGCCACAGCTACCTGTAAAAATTTTTTAATAACCTCAATTAGATCAGTGTTCATTGCATCAAAAAGACTCATACCACAGTGTTCAATGGAAAGAATAACATCATATGCCTTGGCTTTAAATGTCAAACACACTGAGGTGATTTAGGAGCAGGACCTGTGTCCAGCCCAGAGCTGGTTCCTTTTTTACCAGGCCTGTGAACACAGGGAGTCACTTATGCTACTGGTTTCCTGATCTGGGTGGTGTGGATAATGGCAGGATTGGGCCTATGCCCCTCATGGGCTCTTAGCTGGTATCATTCAGAGAGGCCTCTGAGTGGTACATCACTTTTAGCCAGACATCTTTATGTCCAGCTGGGTGTGGGAATGATATTAGAGATACCCATGAAAATGCTCCTCTTCTCCCAGGAGGCTCAACTGGGATCACAGAGATGATTTTCTCAGCAAAGAAAAGTGATCACTGCTTTACCCTAATAAAGTGAGTTTTGTGACATGTTGTGAGGTAGGATTAATCATGTCCCATTTTTTCTCTGAAGAAACAGACTTATAGAAGGGACATGCTTTATCCAAGGCCACAGAGCAAGTAACTGATGCCAGTTGGGGACTTTAGAGTCCATCTCTTTCACTGTCCTATGCTGGCAGGTACATGCAGGAAACAGGCCCAGCCCTGCCAACAGATGCCTCACTACACATGCCCAGTACTCCCTGCCCAATAGAGAAGAGAAGCGTGCCATCCCAGTCTAGTCTCTCACCCTCCGTACTACTGTCATTCTCTGTTTGGGGCTCCTCCAAGCATGGAAGGATGGACTGGTACCCTTGCTTATACCCACCAGATGCCACTGCCTTCACCTTTCCTAGGTCCTGACAGTGAACATGTCTCCAGATATTTTCCCTGGATGGCAAAATGCCCCCAGTTGAGAATCATTGCTTCAGTCCAAGCAAAACTCGCTGTCCCTACAGGCCCCAAAGAACAAAGCCAAGGTGCACGTGCACATGTGTGTGCGTGTGTCTGTGTGTAAGCGAATGTGTGTTTCTGGGCAGTTGCAGGTTCTGCTGGTCCAACTGCAGGTCTCTTTCCTAGCAGACAGAACTGACCCCATCCCCACCCCTCTGCCTTGGTAGGAGGGGCTCAAGCAGCCAAGGAAGCAGCATTCCTTGCTAATGTTGGGAAATGATCAATGGGAAAGTCTGAGAGGCAGCTATTGGCTGTGCCTTGGCCAGTTCCCACGAGGAGACTTATTTCCTGGGTAGACTGGGCAGCAAGGGATGCTGCTGTTGCAGGCCTCATACCTGGCAGCTCCAGGTCTCCAAGCAGCCCTGTGAGGTGGCAATAGATTTTCACGTAAAAGGAGTTTCTTAGATATTTTCATTTTATCTTGTAAAATTGTGTAAGAAAGGCATCAGTGCCCCGCCTTACAAAGAGACCTGAAGACTGACTGAGGATTGGGCAAGGACTGAGCATGGCTCAGCAGCACAAACTGCACCAGATGTATGACTCCTGGCCTGGGGCAGCGTGGAAGGTAAGTTGAAGCACACAGGCTTTGTGGCCAGGACCAACACAGAATCTTGACTGTCTGCTTATTAGCTGTGTGGCCAAGGGCAACTTGCTCAACTTTCTTGAGTTTTAGTTTTGCATCTGAAAAATTAGGAAACACCTTCAACACACAAGGTTGTTGTAAGATACTACAGGAAAAGCATATGTAAGTGATAATTCTCTTGACACATTTGTAAAGAAATATGTCTGTTTTCCTAGCATGTACTACAGTGACAGAATAGATCAAACACACAGGCCATAGGGTGATGGAAGTAGCTGGGAGGATCCTTGTGCCAGAGAGACGCTCTTTTCACTGTGCTGTCCGTCCAGGGCATACAGCGTGGCTGAGGGAATGAATGAAACAGAGTCATACATACCCACCACTCCTGGTCCTCTTCCCCTGTGACAATAATCACTTCTCCCTCGATGAACGTGAGCTCATCATCATTGTCTGCCTGGCAGTCGTAGATGGTCTTCACACGCCTCACTTTATTTTTCCCCTTTAATAAAAAATTTTGTTTTAGTGAAGAGAACAGACTGAAAGGGAGAAAAGAGTGCAATGCTCTTCGCAAGGTAGGTGACCTTGGGCAGGTAACTTAAAAATCCCTGAGCCTTGGTTTCCTCCAGTGTCAGGGTTGGGGAGAATGTCTGCCAGGTGTCCAGGGTACCATGTGCTCTAGAGGGACGACAGTTCCTTCCTCTATCAGAACCCAGTGCCCATGTTAGGGATCAAGCTTTACCAAATCACTTTCATCAGAAAGCAAACAATTCAGCTTCACCACGGAGTGCTCTGCCCTCCCCTCCCACCAGCCACAGTGTGCAGAAATGACAGCAGAGTCTAAAAATGTTTTTAGGAAACATGATGTAAAGCAAAATATGCAGCATTTGCATGTTCAATGTGCAGCATAAACAGATTTCTTAGTTCCCTTATGCAAAACAGCAGGTCCGGACTTGCTGCTGACCAGCCTGGGCTGGGAGGGATCTACGAGGTTCCCTAAGCAGTAGTAATTTTGACCAGTTTCGACTTGGGCTTTTTTTGGCTGGACTTCCAGTCCTGTACAAACAGGAAGATGCAAATGAAGACATCCCCTTCTAAGGAATACTTTTAGCACCCAACTAATTAAATCATTAGCAATAAAAAAAGCAAGCTGAGACTTTAAGTGTTCTGGACAAGTGACTGTTCCTCTCTGTCCCTGGTTTCTCCCTCCTCCTTTCTGGGCTCCTGTGGGCAGTGGGGGCTGAAAGGGGGAGTGGGAGGGGTCCTGGGAAGCCTTGCAGAACTGTGGCAGCAGCAGATTTTCATCTCTGTGCTGAGTAGCCAAGAAGGCCTGTGATGTGTTAATTTATAATGGGGAGGATTAAGTGAGATAATATGACTATAATGCATGCAGCATGAACTGGAATTGTGCACACATCAAAAGGCCAGCAGCAGTGCGTGGGAATTGTGGGAGGATCCTCTTGAACACAGCAAAAGTATCTACAACACTAACTATGGTGGTCTGAACGCCATGGGAAGGATGAGTTTTATTGTTCTGACTTCCTTTGTTTTGATGTGATACACTTTTATTGTAACATTATTTTATAACAAAATGTCAGTGGGGCAGAGCTTTCAAGTACAGTGGGAGGACTTTGGTCCCCCCCCTTTTTTTTAAAACTGCGCTCAACCTGAGATGTTCTGTAGGGGGTGCAGCCATGTGTCTGCCTAGTGGTCCGGCAAACATTCTCCTCCCACCCTGACACTTGAGGAAATCGATGCTTGAAGATGGTCAGTGTGTTACACCTTTCTGGAGCATCACATCTCCATGAAGATTGTGGGGGAAAAACATTTTTACATTAAAATAAATATCATATACTACAGCATCTGAAGCATTTCATGACAATGATGGAATGTGGAGACATCTACAAAATTCCATCTGTGGAAGCCTCTGGACTTTCCCTCTGATTCCTCCAGGATGTGGTGAGAAGCAGACTTAGAAGATACTCAGAACCCAGAGAGGAAAACTATTTTCTTATGATCCTAGGGAAAGAAAAAGTTCCACCCCATGGGTAAATAAAGATACCATTGCTGAGCGTTTGCTACATCTCCACTACTGCTGCTCACTCACTGATGACTGCCTTTTTCTCCATGAGCTTGGGATTTCTCAGCTTCTTGTATAAGGAAGCAGGCTCAGAAGGTAAGTATGTTGCACAGTTGTGCAGATACATCAGGCACTGAAGCCAGGTCTTAAAGCCTGCCTACTGGGAGTCCAAAGCCTGCGTTCCTAACTACTACGAGACTCCATCCCACTGTAGTGCTTGTCCCAGAACAGAGAAATGCAGCCAGGTTGGTGAGCAAGAGCCTGTTTTCTTGTGCAAGTTGGAGCACATGCACTCTGCCCACTTTCAGTACTGCAGCAGAGTGCGGGATGCAGCTCAGTGCTAGAGCTTGTCTAGCATGCACAAGTTCTGGGTTTGTTCTCCGACACTGCAAAAGGAAAAAAAAAAAGTGCAGCTGGGGATTGGAAGTGCCTGAACACCGGTGCCCACCCACCGTATTGATTTTTCTGGGCAGTGGTACGGGTGTTTCTGGCAGAGTGGGCGTGAGGTCGTTGGACTCTTCAGATGTTTGCTTCTGGATGGTGTCTCTGGACTGCACATTTGGAGACAGATCTGCTGGGTGTGACTTCTGCATGATGTCTGAGGGCTGCTGTGTCTTGGGTGAGACATCGCCAGTCTGAGACTTTGCCAGCAGGTCTCCCAGCTGTGGTTTGGGAGGAAGATCCTTCACCTGTGGTTTAGGAGGTAAGTCTGAGAGCTGGGGCTTTGGTGGCAGGTCACCCAACTGTGGCTTAGGGGGCAGTTCTCCAGGCTTAGGTGGCAAATCTCCAATTTGGGGTTTGGGAGCCAGTTCTGTGGGCTTTGGGGGTAGGTCTCCAGGTGGTGGCTTTTGTGGTAACTCTGCCAACTGTGATGACTTCTGAAAAATCTCAGGTGGGATGTTGGCTTTGTCTAGGGAGAGATGATGGCTTGTTTCTGTTTTCCTTAGTGCCACTGTGGGAAAGAGAGAGATGGAGGTCAGGGAACAGAGCAGAGGCAGGAGAGGCAGCTTGCTTCCATCACAGTCACCTTAAAGAAGCCAAGCATCTTGAAGAGAACTGACCTACAGTGAGCGCTTGCAACAGATGAGCTCAAGCAAGGCACAGGCCACATTCTCTGCTTCTAACAAGGTCACAGTTGGAAGCCACATTACAATGCATGGCTTTATCCTTCAACTGTGTATGAACAGAATTTAAAAAACCCAAATCAGGGTATAAACAATTTACAGAAAACTGCAAACTATAGCTTATAGGTATAACTTCTTTGTATATACTGCTCTACAAGAGTATTTGCCCATTTTAAAAACTGTTGAAAGTACAAACATAATTACGAAGGAGCATTCTATTCAACACTGTAATCTGTGTTCATATAATTTATTTCCCCATTTTATATGATTCATGCAATACGTAAGACAAGAAATAAAAAGCTTCTTCTGTATGCAACCTCCTACAAGGTAACCTCTGTTACATGACGGTGATGCACATATGTGTATTTATATCATTTAAAAACAATAAACAGGATTACAATACAGACACTGTCTGAGACTTTGTCTCCCCTACTTTCTAAGTCACTTCTGTTTATTTTGTTTTAGCAGCTGCACACTATTCCATGGCTAAGGCCATGCCAGAATTTGTTAAACCATTCACACAGCTCTTTGTGCTGTCTACAGACACTCAGGATAAGTCTCCAATTCTAGCTCAACCACTTACTAGCTATGTGACCTCAGGCAAATTATACAACCTCTCTGTGCCTCAACTTCCTCATCTCTAAAGCTCTACCTCAAAGGGTTATCATGAGCATTACAGGAGCTAATCTATGCAAGGAATTTACTGACAGGACCTGGCAGGCTATAAGCAAGCTATAAATCAAGATTATCATTACTGTTAAGCAGGGCTCCTTGAGGCCAACATTTCTAGTTCTACAACTTTGGCTGGTGGTATAGGGGCCAACATTTAGTATGTACTCAGGGAGGAAATAGCTGAAAGGACAGAGTGAATCAAACTAAGGATTTTTTTTGTTTTGCAAGCTCCAGGAATAGCATCATGTATTTATTTACTTATTTTACACAGAAAGTGGTATAATTGCATATTGCAAGCAATGCCAGTACTTCTTTTACTTTTATGCAGAATCAAATTTCACAAGGGAGAGATAGCTGGTCAAATACCACCTACAATCCAGATTAAAAAAAATATACCAATGGAGTCACATAAGTAGTAAAAGAGAGTACTCTGAGGTCATTGCTAAATGTTGCCAAGACTACTGGAGAGTAATGAGAGCAAAATGAAGTTCAAAGTTTAAAACCAGGGATGTAAACATTCAAATTTTTTCTTTAGTCCCAAGGTAGGACTCTGGGATAAGTAAAGCAACCGTTACTTTGAAAAACAGGCTGTTAAAAGAATAGCGTGGATTTCATGGGACATTATCAAGGTACACTGGGTGATGACAGAGGCAGAAGAATATGAGAATGGACAAAACCCATAAGGATTTCCAGCAGCTACAGGGAAAGTGTAAATGATTCAGATTGAGGGGAGCTGGAAGGTATTCACAGCTCAGTTATGTTACTTAAATTTCATGGTACCTGTGTATAATTTTGAAAATAATAAAATACAGAGACAAATGGGCTAAAGATGTAGTACGATTTTACTCATCCTATTTTTTTTTTTTTTTGGTGGTACTGCTGTTTGAACTCAGGGCCTTATGCTTATAGACAGGTGCCATGGCTACCAGCGCCCGTTTTCTCCTAAAACTTCAATATATTTAGAAAATCATCTGTAGAAGAAAGAGAAAGAGAAGGACAAGGAGAGGAGATAAACCTCAGTGTTGTAAACTGTCACAAGCTGCACTAGGCTTTTCCTGCTAGTGGCCTGTCTAGCCACATCCCTTCCCAAGGAAATCAGCTCAAGGGCTGGCCCTTCAGTTCCAGCTGATATGGCTTCACTCAAAAAGTGGAATGCGGCTTGCCTGCAAGTTTGAAATTGGGTAAACTTTGCCCTGTGCAGGCAGCACAGAGGGAAAAACTGGGAGATTCCCGTGGCTGTGGGGCTGGGAAGGTTGTCGGGAGCTAAGTGGATGGGGGAATAGAAACTGTAAGTGCAAAGTATCCAAAGCTCTCAAATATACAAGCCCTTCTCTGTACTCCCACTATAGGAATCCATCCTAAAACACACTGAAGTGGTCTGGAGCCATGACCTGTGGCACCCTACCACCCCCGAGGGTGAGGAAACTGCAAAGGAGGTGCCAAGAGGGTTATCTGTGCTGGAAGAACCAAGCCCACAGCATGGCACCTCAGGCAAGAATGAACAGCGAGGCCAAAAACCATAGGTGCTGCGTGGGATGGCATGGGGCTGACCACTGGTACCGTGCAGGACTTATGAGAGCATGGGCTAATGGGTGTCAACTTCCTATGAAGAGAGAGGATCGCACACCATGTGCCTCCTAACAGGATGCAACGCAGCTGAGGAAGTGGTTTCACCAAAGCCTGAACCTGCATCTGCTCAGGTCTTTGATCTCACTCCCAACGACAGGAATCCAGAGGGCAGAAGGACATGTGGAAGGAACACACGGGGATGCAAAGAGTAAGATCCAGACTGGAAGAGCAATGGGCGAGTGTTACCCAGCTCCTCAACAAAAGGAGGGGAAGCAGGGTGCTATAGTGTGCACTCCTTTGTCTATCCCCAAGGTTGCACGTATTGCAGCACGATCCTCATTGTGTGGTGGCTTTATAAAAAGAAGGATAACATGAAGGCACACACATTCCCTGTCTCTAGCCATGTGCTGCCTTGTGCCACCTCAGTCTCATCTCTGCCAGCAAGCAGTCACCAGGTACAGCCCCTATACCTTATACTTCCAGAACCATGAGCCCAAATAAACCTTTTTTCCTTATTAAACCTCAGTATTTTGTCATAGTAATGAAGCCTGAATTAATAAACAGAAAAACCGCGATCTAAGCAATTTAGTAGATAAATCAATCAGCTGTAATGTGTTGACCTTATTTTGATCCTTATTCAAATAATTTGTAGGAGACATTTTATGAGGCAATTGGAAATGTGAATACTTGTATTTGATGACACTATGGGATTTTTGTTTTTTAGATGTGATATTGAGATTGCATGTGTGTGAGATGATGTGGTATTCATTCCTGTAGAACAAGGAGTGGGGGTTGGGGAAACAGATGAAACAGGATCAGGCACAAACCTGTAAATGTTGGAGACAGGTGATGACTATTGGGAGGCTGCATCACACTGCTGGTAGTTTCTGTATGTTTTTTATGGGAAATTTCAAAGTAGCTGGTACATTTTCACTGAGAGACAGCGCAAGCAGAGCCGTGGGGTGTGGTGGGAGGGATGTGTGTCAGGCAGTCTTCGTGCATTCTGACGGGAGGCTCAGGAAGGACAGTGCCACCAAAGAGGAGATGAGAGCTGGAGTGCTGCCCCGTGGGTGAGGGTACAGGGTCTACCTCAGGACACAGGCCTCTGCGTGCAGCCAGGTGGGGCACATGGTGGTGGCTGGGGAGGCTTGTGTCCTGATTCACAGAAAAAGCAGAAGCCAGGTGCTCCAGGGAAGGGGACAGTGTGAAGGGTGGGTAGCAAGGGCCAGCACTGCTGGGCAGCAGCAGAGGACTTTGAGAGGTCAAGGTCAGGAGAGTAAGACTAGTACCCTACCTTGACTATGCTTCACTAGGTTCCATCCTGCTGCCTGAGCAGGTAAGGGAGTCAGTCAGCAAGCAGAACACAGCCCAGGAGGGTATGGAGGGAAGACAGAGAAGGAGGGAGCAGGTCAGGGATCACTTGGGGTAACAGCTGATTCAGGCCTAGGAGGACAGAGTAGGAATGGAACAAGGAATCACTTGGGTTCGAGTGCTACAGAAAGTGAGTAGGGAGGCAGATAGAGGGACTCAGTGGTAAGATGTGAGGGAGTGACACAGGGTGGAACCTGGGGCAGCTTGTAGCAAGGGGCAGTGTCAGGGAAACTCATCTCAAACACTAAGAACAGGACAGCACATTGGGCAGTTTAAAAAACACCACCCAACTCCTCAGGCAGGGGAGGCTGCCTCCTGGGGCTCTGCTACCTAACCCATGCCTGGACCCACTTACCAATGCTTGCCTGAAGGTGACTTGATTCAAGAACTTTCAAGAGGGGTGGATTCCAAATTCCCTCCATTAATCTTTAGTTTGCTTTCTACTCAGGCTACACCACAGAGCACAGGGCTGGGCTCAGATGTCCTGCCGCTGGCACTGAATCAACACTGACCACCCAGTCACCAGAGCTCCTCTGAGCCTTCCTGGTGTACCAGGCTTCCACAAGGATCAAATGAAGCAGGCCCCACTGGAGGGGTCTGGTGACTCTAAAGGTGAGCAGAGCTCTTCAGGGTCACTTGTGTTGTAATAGAAGGCTGAAATCTTGGCTTTAAAATAAATGAAAAGTGTGGTCAGGATAACAGAAGGTTTGGTCAGAGTGGAATGTCTGCTTGGCAAAGCAGCAGTGTTTACAGACACTGCTTTCTTAGGCTTCACAGAGTATGGGTGTTTCCACTCTGTGTGACAGATGCCACCCCAGAGGAGGATTCCTTTGGCCATCTATTTTTTAGGGGCTTTCTGAACCATGAATTCATTCTGTCCTTACAAAATCTCACTGAGTTGAGAGGATTCCCCATTCCTCAACTGAGGAATGCAGGTCACTTGCCCAAGGTCACAACTTGAGTGGATGAACTGGGACTGGCTCCTAAGTTTCTCTGATCATGTGTCTAAGAGAGAAAAGGGTGGCACCTGGGGATCATGGCTGTCTGCCGAGAAAGTATTGTTTTCTTAGGACAAGTACAGTGTTTTGTAACTCACAGATTTCAAATCTATGAGTATTTGGTTCCAAGGAGACTGTTGTTGAGGAAAAAATATGGATACTCAGGGTGCATAGAGTTCAGTCCTATATTGTAGATGTTTCGCCATTTTTCTCTTAATGCCACCCAGCTTATGCTAAAGACATGCTGTCTTTCAACAGATCTAAAATTTTCACTTTATCACTTAAGTACATTAGCTTTGACTTTAATCTTTGGGAGGCATATTTCACAAAACTAAGAGCAGGAAAGCTGAGCGCCAGTAGCTCTTGCCTGTAGTCCTAGCTACATGAGAGGTTGAGATTGGGAGGATTGAGGTTGGACTAGCCCGAGCAAAAACCTCAAGAGACCCTATCTCAACCAGTAGTTACATGCCGTGACACGTCTGCCATCCCAAGCTACACAGGAGGCTGAGTTCGGAAGATCACAGTTCTAGACTAGCCTGGGCAAAAAAAGGTTGTGAGACTCCATCTCAATGAATAAAATAGCTGAGTGTGGTAGCCAATGTTCCTGTCATCCCAGTGATGCTGGGAAGCTTAAAATAGGAGGATGGCAGTCCAGGACATCCAGGGCAAAAATGAGGTCATCCTAGGCAAAAACGAGGGCTGGGGGTGTGGCTTACATGGTAGAGCATCTGCTTAGCAAGCATGAAACCCTGAGTTCAAACCCCAGTACCACCAAAAAAAAAAAAAAAAGAGCAGGGAAACAGCAGATCACAATGATTTAAAGTCAAGCAATGATAACTGGGACTATGTGGGATTGACTGAGAGCTTCTCTGAGTCAACTGAGCTGTGTGACGTGTGCTTGGGAATTTACAATTTACTTTTAAAATTTCTTTTGATTTTTAAAATCTACTATTATTTTTTTGGCCATGCTTGGTCAAAGCTGCATGTAATCCGTCTGTGAGTAAGGCAGGCTTACTGTACTTGCTTTCATTTAACAAGTACACGCTCAATACTGCTCTAGACACCTGTGATAGATCAGGGAACAACAGACACAAGACCTTTGTCCCTTGCGAGATGCAGTGACACTTTAGTTACATGTGAACATGAGAAAGACAAATCTTACCTTTCTGAGGTAGTTTGGGAAGAACTCTTGGGCCAAGGGCAGTCTTTGCAGAACTGGTGCTAATTAATAAATAACAATCATTTAGGATCAAAAAGTGCTGAAATGTATCAATAGTGATCTATTATTCAAATGAGCCAAAGGCATTTACAGAATTATTTAAAGGATCCTTTTAAAATTTCTTAAGCAAAAGATTACAGTATATTTTCTTTTTTTCAGTTGTCTGGCTAGAGAAGGATACAGGAAGTGTGAGGACAAAAAAGTACCCATTAATGACAAAGAAAAACAGTCCAGTCCTTCCCACAGGGAATACCGTGTGTGACAGCACCTGGCACTCTGCATGCTGTGTTCCTGATGTAGTGCACAGAAGTACCTCATCTCAAGTTATCCCAAAGCAGCCCTTGTTCCCGCATTTTCGGATAAGGAAATTGAGGTGGGTGGAGTGTCAGTGACTGGCAGAAGGTCCCCAGGCCAGTCAGTGATGGAAGTGGAAAGTCAGCACCGTGGGCCCCCAAACCCTTTCTTCCTCCTCCACACCAAACAGAGGGCTCGGGTTCTCAGGCTTACAGGCTTGCCCTGCCTGTGGCCTCCTTTTGGAGGACATGTAAATGAGTAGGGGAAAAAACACCCCAGTCCCTGGAATAGAAATCTGCACCATGTGGTTTGAACAGTCAAATAAGGCATATATCAGCTGGACACCGTGGCTTCCCTCGGGGACAGTCCTCAGAAGCTCCAGGAGCTGTGCACCCAAGGGTCTGAGCCATGAACTCGGGCCTCTGATGTCCCAAGAGTTGGCTCTTTGTCATCTTCACTGCATTTAAAGGGAAAGGAAAAAACAACCACAAGGATCACGGGGAGATAATGAGACATATGCTTCCTTCTTCTGCCTGGTCCCTGGGTACCCTGGGTTTGCCTGCTCTTGCCTAGATCTCTGGCAATCCTCCTACCCTGGGGGACTGGAGGGCAACACTGCTGGGAAGCCAGCACTAAATGAGAAACAGTGAATGTGAGACACTTTGTTTCTAACCTTTTTTTTTTTGGTGGTACTGGGGTTTGAACTCAGGGTCTAATGCTTGCTAATCCTTGAGCCACTCTCCTGGACCACTTCCAGCATTTTTGGACTGTGTTTTTCTACTGTCTTGCCTCACATTTTCCCAGAGGCTCAGCTGTCTACCACTGGTGTGAGCATGACTCACTGTCACTCCCGGGCACGTTTCTAAGGCTAAAGCCTAGAGGTTCAGAGTCCTTACACAGAAGCCCCTGGACCAATACTGCGTGTGCCTGGGCTGTTTCCCATAGGAAATAAACACAACGCTTGTGGTGCTGTCCACGTAGTGTGCACACGTGTGGGTAGGTGAGGGGGTCGAAAACTGAATGCATCACCCAGTGGCTCAGGTGATAAGCACACTGATCCAGGGCAAAACATTTTACGAGTGCTTTCTGTGTGCCACTCTCTCTGTTCTGGAAGACCACAGAACTGCTGCTTTATGGGATACCCCAAAGGACCGAGTGAGAATGAAGGTAGGCCGAGGGTGAGGAAGGCCTGGGGCACAAAGTACAGCCAGCCAGCTCTGACAGCCATGCTGCCACTGAATTGCTCTGGGCACCTCAGATTCCTTATCCAAGAAACTGAGGATGATGTTAACTAGACCTATACCACAGGGCTATAGAGATTAAGACAGTGACATTAAAAGAAATAAGGTTTAGGGTTGGGCATGGTGGTGCAGACCTATAATTTCAGCTATGTAGTTGGCAGTTAGGAGGACAACTGTCAGAGACCAGCCCTTGGTAAAAACTATAAGACCCTATCTTAAAAAAAAAAACAAAAAAACAAAAAGGACTGCAGGAGGCATGGCTAAAGTGGTAGAACACTTGCCTAGCAAGCACAAAGTCCTCAGTTAAAGCCTCAGTAATGCAAAAAAAAAAAAAAAAGTTTGTTTTTTAATCTTTGATAAACTCTGCAAAGCAGCCCCTTCCCCTGCACCCAGCTGATTCTTTCTCCTGGAGGTTCTGGGTCTGGAAGTGGCTCTGTGCCTGATCCCAGTTGCACCTCTAGAGAAAATCCTTTGGGGCGGGGCTTGGTAAATACTTCTGTAAGTAGAACTCCCAAAGCACCCTGCTTCAGTGAGGGTGGGGGGTGGGGAGGACAAGAGGGAAAGTCACAAAAGAAAATTACTGAATTAAAATCAAGAATAAACACACAGGCTTGTTCTGATGGGAGTTGGTTCAGACTGCTGTAGGACTGACTCTAGCCATCAGGGCAGGGGTGAGCTCCACTGTCACTGCATGGAGAGAGCTGTACAGTTACAGAGCTGCACTTGGCAAAGCTGCTTTATTATGGCCCAGGAGCAAGGTGCTGATGCAAACCCAGCGTGGACTTTCAGTTTCTCATTATAAACCACAGTCAGGTGACCACACTTTGAGTAACACCAGGAAAACAGCTAAAACCCACTTCTATAACCCTGTCCACAGGAGAGGAAGCACTAGGGCAGCTCACCTTGACTGCTGAGACAGTCCCTCAAACTTGTTCGTGGTCTTACTTGAAGATGATGGACCCACATCATTACCTACAAGGAAAATCAAAAAGTTGAACCTATGAGGAAAATCAAAAGTTGAGAGTTGCATCTTCAGACACAGATATGATATAGGGACACATGGCTTTAGCAGACTGGTACTCCCTGGGTTTAAGAAAGGCATTTGAAAGACTTAAGTCAGAAGAATATGCATTTCTGGCATTAATGCACAACAAAACTAAGCCCTGTTTTGGCTTTGAGGATGCTTTTATCGCCAGTCAAGGAGTATGTCGAGGAGATGAGCCCTTAACAGGGCCTCTGTGATCATAGGAACTTGATCATTTCCCAGGAGTTCAGGATCTGGTTCTTGGCTTGGGAGCGCAGAAAAATCCAGTAAGACATCAAGTTTGCCCAGAGGTTGCCATGCTGAGAAAATGTCCTTTGGTAACCAGATCAGATGACATGCCTAGCTCAGTGAGGGCATGAGTGGGGACAGTGCCAGTGATGATAACAGGTCCTCACCTCAACTATTCGCTGACTCACCGTTTATTCGAATGGTAACACTGATGAAGCACCTGCCCTGCACAAGGCATGAAATGTGGAGCAGCAGGCACAAGCAAATCTGGCTTGGGAGACCGACATGTAGGAACTATTTAATAATGCAGAATGAAATGAACAGAGTCGGTTAGCCATTAAGAAAATGAAGAGGAAATTAGTGCCTAAAATCCAAGTGGTAAGAGAGGATAGGGACTGTCTTCCTCAGAGGACATGGTGCTTACACAGGTAGAACTTTCTAGTGGGACAGTGGCAAAACCAGAGGCACACAGGTGGATGGACATGTGCTTTGTCCAGGAGAAGGTCAAAACACTGCTTAGAATACCAGTGGATTTTTCTGTGACCAATCCACAGAGGAGGAGTGCAGGGCAGGGCTGGGGATGCCTGGAGAAACTGGGATAAGGGAAGAACCCAACTGCTCCTCACTCAATCGCACCAACGGTTGCCCAGACAACACTTTCACCTCTGTCTGGGTTTCACAACATGAAAGACTGGCACCCCCTTTTTAAAGATCAGCAAATGAGGCTAAATGTATAAAAGGCTATAGGCTAAGTGATGTGCCTAAGAGTCCTGACCACAAATCTATGTGCTCTGCTCCCATCATCACGTCCCAAGAGTAACACGAATCACAGCAACTACCATGAGCAAGGTATTACGCTCAAGAGAAATAATGGAGTTACCTCCGCCATTTTATACAAGAAGAAAAATGCAGAGGTGTAAAGTAACTTGCCCAACGTGAAGCAGCTGGGGAGAGTCAGTGATTGCTAACCCAGTGTGCATGAGTGAACTGGCTACCAGCAGGCTGAATCCCCTGGCTCCACTGTGATCGTTCTCTGTTGTCACATGGCTGAGTCATGATGGCAGGGGCCACGGCTCACGCCCACAGGCCCAAATGTCCACAGTCCCGATTTTATCTCCCTCTCTAGTGTATATGTGTGAGGTGAACATGATCAAAAGTGCGGGTAGGAAAACAGAACACTGAAACTTGATAAAAACTGTTTTAAAAAGGGGGTGGGGAGGGGAGATAGAGAGTAATAGAACAGCAAATTTGGTCAAGGTACATAATATGTATGTATGGCAACATCAGAATCAAACCCCTTTGCATAATTTATATACACTAAAAAAGAAAGAAGAAAATAATTTCCTTCTTTGGCAACTCAAGGCGATCTGCCATTCTTCATTAGACTCTGTTTTGATGCCTCTGTAACTTTGCCCTTTGTTCTTTCCCCTATGCCTACCTGTTCCCACTGTTGGGGAATTCCTACAAAATATTCAAAGAACATCTCTCCCAAGTCACTTTCTGAGAAGTCTTCCCTGGCAGACTGACCTTCTCCTTCTGGGGACTGCTTAGGGTGAAGTTTTGAAGACAGACAAGCCGGGGCTTGATTTCACCGGTACCACTGACCTAGGGGTATGGACTTGGAGGACATTGCTGGTTCTGCCAAGCCTCCATCTCCTCATCTATACAACAGGAATGATGACTACACCTGCTACACTAGACGGGCATGAGCATGAAAGAGAATGAACTGTGGCTTGTGGAGCACGAGGCTGGTCTATGGGAAGCATGACACAAGTGCTAATGACTTTCCATAGCTTTCGGATGGATGTGACAGAAATGATGTGGATGCACTCAGTGAACGGCAACTTCTTCCTCACCTTTATGACCTGGCTTTCTAGAATGATGTGGCACAGAGGACCAATAGGTACCTGCTGCAGAAAGGTAGTACCAACAGCACTGGCTCCTCAACTTCTCTGCCACAGTGTGATTTCTCACACCTGGTGGGAAGCCATCTGTGGCAGATTGACACCAACCCTGTCATTCTGAGCTAAGCAAAGGTGTCCTGCTGTGCTGGGGAATAAAAACGTGGCTTTGAAAAAAATTCTGAAAATATGATAGTACTAAAAAGAGGAGAAAGAGGAGTAAAAATATGGAAGTAGCTCAATTCTTTTTCCTCTGTGCTTGGAAAAGGTCCTTGGTAGGTCACACAGATGTGTGTAAGACAGCTGGAGACAGATGTTGGGCAGGCAAGAAATTGTGGGCAAGAACATGGCCACTTATGCAGCTCAGATGCTGCAGAATGAGAGTTGTGGGTGCCAGCTCAGTACTGAGCAGCATGCAGGCGCCAAGAGTCTTCTGGAGCAGTGAGTGTGTATGGTCTTGGAGTCAGAAGAGGGTTCAAATTCCAGTTCTGAAGTTACTCCATTTGTGATCTTATGCAAGTCATTCAACTTCTCTGTGCTTCAATTTCCTCAACAGTAAAACTTGTCTTACAGGTTGGTTATGAGGACTTAACTTAAAAAAAGGTATGAAAAAAATTATTTGAGGTAGGCTGGGCAGTGGCTCAATGCCTATAATTCCAGTTACTCAGGATGTGGAAACTGGGAGGATTATGGTTGGAGACTCCATCTCAACCAACAACCAGGCTTGGTGGCACGTGCCCATCACCCAGCTATGCAGGAGGCTATAGGGCAGAAGGATTTTGGTGGAAACTGGCTCTGTGCAAAAACACGTACCCTACTTGAACAATAACTAAAGCAAAAAAGGGCTAAAGGTGTGGATCAAGTGGCAGAGCAAGTGCAAGGCTATGAGTTCAAATCCTAGTACTGCCAAAAAATTATCTGTTCTACATTAAAAATATATTACAGTCCAGTGGCCAAGGATGAACTATGACTGCTGGAGGTCAATTATGCAGGAACTGGTGGAATGTGGATCAGAACTTGGGCTTCTGGAATGCTTGATCCTGTGATGTACACTGCAGAAACTTCTCTAAATGCTGAAGGATGAAGGTCCCTGGGGAATTGCTCTCAAGTATTAATTCCAAGAATCTCAAGTGTGAGATCAGGGTTAATCTTACACATAGCACAAACTCCTGTGATACGCTTAGAGTAGTCCACTTTCACCACAGCATATGACCTGATCTCATGGATGCCGAGATCACACACCTGGACTTCAGGTTACTTTCCTATCTTCACTCTCACCTTTGTACTCATTTCCTTACTATTTATTTTTATTATTATTATTTTTTTATTCATATGTGCATACAATGTTTGGGTCATTTCTCCCGCCCCCCCCCCCGCCCCCCCCGGCCCCGTTCTCCCCACCCCGCTCCCTCCCTCTACCCCCCACCCCCTTGATACCCGGCAGAAACTATTTTGCCCTTATCTCTAATTTTGTTGTAGAGAGAGTATAAGCAATAATAGGAAGGAACAAGGGGTTTTGCTGGTTGAGATAAGGATAGCTATACAGGGCATTGACTCACATTGATTTCCTGTGCATGTGTGTTACCTTCTAGGTTAATTCTTCTTGATCTAACCTTTTCTCTAGTTCCTGGTCCCCTTTTCCTATTGGCCTCAGTTGCTTTAAAGTATCTGCTTTAGTTCTCTGCACTGAGGGCAACAAAAGCTATCTAGTTTTTTGGGTGTCTTACCTATCCTCACCCCTCCCTTGTATGCTCTCGCTTTTATCTTGTGATCAAAGTCCAATTCCCTTATTGTGTTTGCCCTTGATCTAATGTCCACATATGAGGGAGAACATACGATTTTTGGTCTTTTGGGCCAGGATAACCTCACTCGGAACGATGTTCTCCAATTCCATCCATTTACCAGCGAATGGTAACATTTCGTTCTTCTTCATGGCTGCATAAAATTCCATTGTGTATAGATACCACATTTTCTTAATCCATTTGTCAGTGGTGGGGCATCTTGGCTGTTTCCATAACTTGGCTATTGTGAATAGTGCTGCAATAAGCATGGGTGTGCAGGTGCCTCTGGAGTAACCTGTGTCACAGTCTTTTGGGTATATCTCCAAGAGTGGTATTGCTGGGTCAAATGGTAGATCAATGTTTAGCTTTTTAAGTAGCCTCCAAATTTTTTTCCAGAGTGGTTGTACTCATTTACATTCCCACCAACAGTGTAAGAGGGTTCCTTTATCCCTGCATCCTCGCCAACACCTGTTGTTGGTGGTGTTTCTAATGATGGCTATTCTGACAGGGGTGAGGTGGAATCTTAGTGTTCGTTTCCTTACTATTTAGTGTGTGTTAAGATATGTGTTGGTCTGTTTGAAAGCATGTAACTAAACATGCCAATACAATGTCACTTCAGACATCATAAAGTCCTCATACAACTCAAAACTGCCCTCTGGCTTGTTTTCCTACCAGAAGCCTTAGCTGTCTCCTGTGACAGATGGCTGGTGGGCATCAGGACTGCAATGGCTAGGCTCTCCTGGGCACTGAGGACATTGTAGTTCTGGTAGGGAAGAAACCTGAAGTGGCCTTCCTGCCTGGGTGTCCTGCACTGCATCCTGGGTTATCTTTGCCAAGAGGAGTACTTTTTCCATGTCTCAGCTTCGTAGGCACAGAAACAACTATGGAGAGGAAGGAGAGGAAGGACAGGAAGTGGACTCACTGCCCGCCTTCTTTGAGCCCAGAGCTGTCACTTGCAGAAGGCAGCTGTGTGGACAGGGTGAGGGATGTGGGAAATCAGCACGGGTGGAGACAAAT